TTGCAAACATTAACACTTGTTTATACTAAAAAGTGTAAAATTCATAATTATGATGCATAAATACAGATTTGGTATGTGCAATGTACAAACTAACAACAAACAGCAGCGGTGTGTCTTAAGGAAGAATAAAAACTTCAGGTACATGGTAAGCACCACGGTTTTCACCCAAACTTGTGAAAGAAACCTGTTCTTTATAGAGCCAGTCTGCTCCATCTTCTTTCCATCTTCAATGGAAATTCTGCCAGAACTGTAATTAAATTAAAAATTAAATTTACTTTTTAAAACATTAATACACTGCTGATAAAAAGGATTTTCTTAGATGCAAATCTCCTAAGAAAAGCAGCAACCATTGCGTCACAATACAGGATGTGTCAGTCTCAATTAATACATCAATTCTGACAGCATTTAACAAGGGAGCTCACGGACAGACAGACACAGACACCACAGCAAAATAGATGCTATTCTTAAATTGATGACCCTGGATCCCATCCCACTCATGCAATAGATCCAGAATAATTACACTGCAAGCTATCATGTCTTTGAAGGAGCATCTAGTTCAGCTAATGTTTCCTCTACTTATTAATAAAAGGAACAAGCCATAGTAACTCTCAGCACAATATATTGCCTCAGTGGCAAATCATGACAATTAACTTCATATAGTGATGAAATTGCCAGAAAATATCACATGCTTTGGGTTTCTGTATGTTCTCTATTCCCCACAATCAGAATTCTTTCTGGTGGAAGAACTAGATCTCTGCAGAAAAGAATAAAGATACTCCAGCAACACTCAGTAGGTAATGGTTAAATAGTGTTATATTTTTAAATGGAAAAAAACTTTTCATAATCAAAGATAAACAATTATTGTAAAGCATTTACTCTAATTTATTAAATGCACATGCACACACTCTTGTTGAAGGGGCCACACTGTCCAACATGAATTACTATAAAATTTGCTTCATCCTGATAACTCTCAGCCCATTGTTCCCAGTTAGAAAGCCTGTTCTTTTTAATAACCAGCTCAATAAACTGTTGAAAAATGCTTTGTATGATATAGTACTGCCATAGATCTGATGTTTGTCTCTGTCATTACATATTGCATTCAATCAATTTACAAATGTTGCCGTGTTCCTTTTGTGCTAGTTCTCCTTATGGCATCCTGAACAGAAATCCAAAGATCAATACCTTGTCTGCCGAAACAAATATGACATAACAAATGAATAATTTTATTTACAATATAAGTTCTGGTCCCCAAATGGATTCTACTAATGTTCGAATTCATTTTTCATGTTTAACACAAGATGAAAGCAAAAACCCAGCACAATGCAATGAGAAAGGCAGGGATGAAAAAAATCAGTCCACGTTTACTGAAGATGTGAGCAAAACCAAGTAAAGCTATACTGCATGGCTAGGAAAATATCAGTAAAATGGTAGGTCCTCCTCAACGTATTTGTAGCCATATTAAAGAGCAAAGAGCCCACATCAGTGAGCAGACGGATTTCATTTAAAAGATAATCTACAATTCTGAAATATGGAAGCAACAAGATTCTGAGTGAAATAAGGGAGAAGACAACACTAGAAGCTTAACTCACGCAGGCTGCATGAGCCGATTCAATTCTTGCCTTGTGCATTTTGAGTAATGTAAGCTGGCTATTGACATAAGCCTGCAATATTCCAGCTACTGAACCTTCTCTAAGACAACTATCTAGCTGATTGAGATAGCCACAGATGACATTTCATCACCTTTCTTCACAGAACAGCAAGTTAACAGCACTAATAGGAAAAAGGAACTCCACTTTTCACAGAAAATAGTATTGGCACGTGTGTAAACTTGCTGAGATTTGTACTCCTGTACAATAATCAGCTCACAACCTCCTCACTTCCAAGCTAACTGTTAAGACACACATAGCATACACTCTTCCCACCTAAGCTCTTGGCTCCAGAAGCATGCGTAAGCATCGCTGAAGCAAAACTCTTAAAAAAAAAAAAAAAAGTCATTATGTCATTAACAAAGACTGCACACCCTACAATGTGCCCGGCCACTCTGAAATAAGACAGGCAAGGGGTACGGAAGCCCCGTCTTCCCCTTGGAAATATATGCAAGAACAGAGCAGGTACATACTCGTCTCATTTTCTCTTGGGAGTTGGGAGGCGCGATGTCTTCCAACAGACTGGTCAGGCACCTCCACCATTTGGGTGGCAGCAGTATCCTGAGAACACACACCAATTTTGCACATGTAGCTCTCCCTCTCAATTCTTTGGTTGTGCCAAAAGAGGTAAAAGAGTTTGCTACTAGTGCCAATCAAATAAATGTACATATTTTAGCTGGGGCGGTACAGAAAACAGTTTCATGCCAGATATCCCAACTCAAGATCCCAGGTACTTCCTATTCAAGAATCTGCCATAATCCCCACCGCCTCTGTCAAGGGGACCTTATTACAATGAGTGTATGTGCCCATGAGCCAGAGTGTGCCCATTAGACAGAAGTCTAATATTGGGGAAATTGAGGCAGTTCTCTCCAGGACAGAGAGAGAGAGGGCAGATCTTTCCTTACCACGAACACCATCGTCTTGCTATTCCTATTCTTGGTTACTATTAGCACAGTTTGACTTTCAAGGGTCAAGCTGAATTCACAAGGCTAGCAGCTAGAAGAAAACAAAATAATACTTTTTAACGTGTCAATTGAGTAAATATGCTTTCGCATTACTCGAGTCACAAACACTGACCTCCACAAGACCATTTTTAATGAATTTTTTCAGAGTATAACTGTATTTTAAAACCATTACAGCAATTTCACAACTCCTACCCCTATGTTCCTTTTCAAGATGGAATTTCAACCTTACAAGTTAATTAAAGTCACCACCTGGAGTGAGCTGGCTTTCAAACTGATTTCCTTTGTCTCTCTAATTCACATGCATTAATATTTTATTTTCTACTGCAAAAACAAAAAATGAAAAGAAATGTCACAAGTGTGCCAAAGACAAGGCGGATAAAATCATTGCAATAAAATAAAAAAAAAAATACACTTGTTACTGCCAGGTCTTGAGATGAATGCTGCATTATATAGACATTTTAAAGGCTTACAACTGCAAATTAGCTCTGCTTTACATACTGTATTCTAACCTTTGCATCATGATCTTTTTAATTTTTTCTTATTGTAATTAGAGAGGAAAAGGGTGGGTTTCTGTTTTTATTACCTGAATATTTATTCAACAGAGAAACAAAGACCACATTATATATTACAACACATGAGCTATTAAGACAATGTGACACTATAAAATATGCTGCAAGACTCATTATAGAATAACAAAGCTAAACCTCTTCAAATAAATGTATCTGCCAAACAGTCAGCAATAACTGTGCAACTAGAGTTCATAATCTTTAATTATTTAAGAAGGAAAGAAGCTTGTAGTAATTTTTATAGGCTCCTTAAACTGTTACTTCTAGAACCTCACAAAACTTGAAAACAAGAAGCTTTTATCTGAAACACTTTTATTTAACAACAGATGCAATTGTTCACTTACCTAAATAATTGGCAAAGTCGCTAACCATTGCTTTAAAACATCCACACGCAGTAGATTACTATTTTATTTACACTCTGACCCAGACAATGCATATAGCTATGTACTGGGCAGGCATTTACACGATCTGCAAATGTTAGTGACCTGATACTGTCTTTAGACAGCCTTGAAAAATATTTTGGCTAAATATATGATAAAACTGTAAGTCACACTGATTTACATCAGATACTTTAGGCAGGTTGCTGCAGGAACTAGGAGTTGAGAAGAACTGCTCATTTAACTGATTAAAACATACTGATGAGATAGTAACGTGTTTAAAGTTTCTATAAAGTCTATGGGTCTTTGCTATTCATTTATAACCAAATCATCTGACATTTGCAACAAATAGCAAGTATTTAAAACAGGGATAGAGAGAAGTTAATTTTATTTTGAATAATTGTATTCTATAGATGGGAGGAGGGAAGGATCAGTATTTTCAGGAGAAGAAAAAAACATGTTTCTAGATATAACAATATATTAAAAGCTACTAAATTTAAAATCACGTATTAAAATTTGTAAGAAGTAACACGAAACTACAGAAGAATATGAAAGCTTTTGATAAATTCCAGTGATTCTGAATAAAAATTTAACAACTACTTTCACTCTGTATGTACAGGTAAGGGTTTTCTTTTTCCAACATACATTCAGTCATTGCCTGATTTACTTCCTACTGAAGTTTTACCATGGATCTCTACAGAAATGAAATGACCGGTCTTAAATACTTCTGAAAAGTTCCACCTCCACCCAATGAAATTAACAGAGGTTACACAGCAGTAGAGTTTTGATGGGGAAATAATATGCAACACTACAAAAGAGACTACACTGAGGGGGATTTTGCCTCTTGCAGAATTGTGTTCCTACAAAGTTTCTAACTGACAGGATAGTTTTACCTATAACATCGGTCTTTTTCCTCAGGAAATGCGTATGCTATACAGACGGTTTATTTAATCCATCCCTACCTAAATTAATCAAAGCAATTTGCCCCTCCTCCTATAGTCTTCGTACAGAATTCTGCTGCCATTTGACAAATGGTGTATTTTTACCTACGAGAAGTTGAAAATTCTGCATAAAGAATTTACTGTGTCTAAAAATAAGTAACATTATTAAAAGGGAAACAGGATGCGTTATTTAGCGTAATAAGAAATTTAAACACTAGCACCTCAGATGCACTTAAAAACGCTTTTAGTAGCACCTGGTTGTTTATACATCTTCTGTGGTGAAAAGGTCAATAGAAATTCACCTCTAAGGTCACCGTCGCTAAGCAACCGTTTTCAGAAGTTCTGCAACATCGATCAAGCGTATTACGTTCCACTGACTGGTTTCAGAATAAATCTGATTAACATCCTACCTGGCCTTCAGAACGCAAAGAGTGCCTCCCTCTTTTCCACAGAACGCTGAGCGGCCCATACGCACTCCTGACTGAGGCTCTGGTTGAAAGGATACGCCCTGGGACCACTGGCTTCCGGTTCACAAGGGCAAAGGAGAGCTCCGTCCTCAGGAATACCACCGAGGGCTTGATGAGGTGCTGCCCAAATCTCAACATGATAAATGTTAATCTTCAGGATCTGAAAGAGAAAACCGTTATGATTAAGAGAATGGCGTTGAATTTCTTTTCAGCTAGACAACAGCTAAATTGAGCAGAGTGCCTCCTTGGCTCACCAAACTGTTCAGCGCTTTAGGAAAGCCTAACCAATTTCTCCAAATGCATCACTCCTTTAAAGCAATAGTGTGACTTCTTACCAAACAAAAAATTTTGCATGCAAGTTCCTAAAGCCTTTTCTCATCATCTTAGCCCGGCTACAAAATTCAAGACAGAACGTCATTTCTGCCTCCCACTGCCATTGTTCTTTATTGCATGTATTTTTGAATCCTATGCATTCAGAAAAAGCATGAATAATATTTCACATGCATTTGTATATTTCATATTTGCCAAAACGCAAATCAATACACACAAGGATTGATGGAATAAAGAAACTGCCTTTTCTAAATCAACCTCTCCAAGAAATGCCTCAATAGAAGAAATACAAACAAATTAAAGAACGCCTATCTGTTACTCATTTTCAGTACACACTTCCCAGCTTGTGCAAATGAAATGTAAAGAAGATCAACAGCTGTGTGCAACGTTTCCTCTTACACAAGGAGAGCTCAAAAAGCCCACTTTCATTCACTAAAATTTCCTCTTATGGTGAGGATGAAAAACCTTCTTAGATAACTAAGGCACAACCCTAACGGACCCTATTTTTGGTCTTTAGCCCCAGAGTATTTAGAGCATTTAATTCAACCAGAAATATCCAACATGCTGCAGGGTAAAATATGAAGTAATGATGCATATTATGTGGCAATACTTCAGACACATCCAAAGCATGACCATAACATTACTTTGTTTGAATCAAGTGATTAATCAGAAAATTCAGTTTCATAAGTTGCCTCAGCTGGGGGAAGGCATTACTAGAGTCGTGGGGTCTTTCACTACAGTCCTTTTCTTGCAAGTATAATGTATTCACTAAGATCCAAACCACCGGACACAAATTTCAGCTTGGCTCTTGATCAAAAAGATTTCTATTAATTAGTCTTCCCTCCTCCCTCAAAAAAAAAAAGTACATAGAACAATCCTCTCTAAACGTACACACTTTGAAAGCGTCTTTGGGAAGTGAAACGTGCGTGTTCTTTGGAAGGAAGTTCTGACCATTTCAACTATCTGATTACATAAGAGAACTTTGGTTCTAAAACAAATGAACATATATATATGTATATATGTATATATATATGGCACTGTGGTGTTTTTTCCATAAAGTTAACAGAGGATTAAGTGTCTGAGATGTGTCCCACACCATATATTAAACCTGAAACTTGACAGGATACAAAATTAGTCTCTTTAGCTACTAGAAGAATCACTTCTCAGAAGAAACACCTGCTTTATCTTCTGCTGATGTCTGAAAAAAATATTATTATGGACTTCGACCAATCATTCCCATTTCTCTCAAGCAGCCAATCAGCAACCCTTGGGGGGGGGGGGGGCATTCTGATTAATTCATCAGAATGTTTTTATATGATAAGATAAAGAGAAACGATTCTCTGTTCAGTGAAGGAAATGTTCCTGAGGCAAGGGTAAAATATGTGAAATAGCCCGTACTGCCATCTGGTGATGAAAGTGTAAGCTAGTAGCTTCAGTGGGCGGACAAATGCACCACCTCACCTGCCTTTGCAGCTAGCAAAAGCATGGACAGAAATAAAAGTACTACCAATCTTTTTTTCTCCACCTTCCCGATTACTGATAACTAAAACCACTGTCCAGAAGATATGGCATACATTTAGCACACAGAGCCATGATTTTAAAACATAGATGCTAATTTTAAAATTTGACACTTCTGAAGTAGATTTAAGGAGGCAGAGAATCGGAGATTTAGCCAATGCACCAGGAAAAGTCCTATGGCTGTTTGCTGCTATAGCCAAAGATAACAAACAATTTCAGCACAAGGTTGATGACGACCTTGGAAGTAAAGCCTAAATCCCACACGTCAGCAACTGAGACGCCAGGGAAGCAGGAAACTCATGATATGATGCTCTTCTATTCTAATTATGTACCTGAATTACCAGGGTCCTTAGCTCCTATGGGTCTTGCCAGTCTCATGGTGACTCTGAGACTCACTCTTAAAAATAATTGAATTCCCCTCTGAAATGTATGTTGTGAAAGCCTTCCAGTTGCAGAACGAAACAAATACCGAGAAATACAGGAGCTAAGGTTAACCATGTGTTAAGGGCTTCATCAACAATGGGCAACGGCATCCTCCGAGAAGTTTTGCACAAGTCAAAACGTTACTGCAGTTAGTGGATTTGGGACAGGTGAAGATCAAATTGGAAAGCTAAACTATCTAGATAAACAATACAAAATGTATGTTATTTGAGCAGGGAAACCAGGGCGAAGATGTTTTCTTCTACCTTTAACATCATACTAATTCCACTAATTCTGAGGATTTGGGATCTCACTTAGCCTTAATAGCAGACTAGTAACATGGCCTTAGGGCCGTCATTGCAAGAGATGTTAAATTTATGGAGAATCCTGAGCGATCAATGTGTCAGGGTAGAAAGAACTAGTACCTTGAACCAGTGGGTAGAAAGTACCAGAATGACAGAATGGAGCTCAAATTCCAAAAAAGAAATTCTGGTTGACCCGAACTGGAACAGAGCACTATAGGCAGTGTGCACTGATCGAGCAGCTAACCTGTGCTAGGAAGGGAAGCAGCAGAGTTCCCTTCCTCCCACCCCCTACTCGAACAGCTCATTCACAACTGCAGAATAAGGCCACAACTCTACAAATCTCTACATAACCGTAGGCAGTCTGTGCAGTCTCCATTGACCCTGTAGGTGTTAGGTCTGCAATCCACAGTAACACCATAAAGGAGAAGGGTCTCCTCAGGACCTTCATCATCAGCTGCACCTTGTCAGATCAGTGAGGAATGCTCTAATTAAAGTCAACTCTAAGCTGCATTAGACAAGAATTATATCCAATGAACATACCAAAAACAATGCCAAACACGGTACTTTGTCCTTCTAAAGAGATTTCTAAAAAAGTTCTTTGTCTGCTGGGCTGATATCCTGCTTACATACACTCATGTTTTTGCTGAAATAAACATATGCAGCATTATTAGCTACAGAATTTGGGTCACCATTGCTCTGTATCTCATATATGACAGGGATTTTCAATGCTTTAAAAACAATAAAATACATTTTCAGAAAATACTAGGTGGATTCATCTGTAGAATCAATGGGTTATAGAATTGTTTAGATTGACTATACCATGTTTTCATGATTCCCCTATCACATGCATCTTTACTTACTTCACTGTCATTTTATTAAAAAGAACCAAAGAAGGTCCAGTATTAGTACAGCTAAACTAAGACAAAGCAATGGCCTTACAAGTCCCTAAACAAGAATCTGAAAAGCTGGGTTGAAAGTTGACTGAGAATTAAGAGCTGAAATCATTATTAGAATATTTTGAATTTTCACTGATAAAAATCCATACAGGCATTAAAAGCTCTTATATCTGTTGACTATATAGTAATATTACCTGAGCCGCATAGTTCCATCTCTTGATTCAGATTAAATATGGTATGTATTTCAAACAAGTTTACAGGCTGTACTAGTTGCACTATGCAATACTGCAGATTTCCCATTACCATCCTCTTCAGTCATGAAAGGGCACTACAGGAATTTTTTCATAAACAATTATTTATTACCTATTATATATTACTTAAGCTGTTTCCTGCCCTAGTGATTTTCTGCATTTTTCCGCAAAGCCTGATCTAGTATTCTGTGCACAGAACCAATAAAAAAGCTTTAAAAAAACCCACACACATTAGGGAAATGAGTAATGCGTACAACTGAAAAAATCTGTAGCTGCGCAGCATCACACTGCAGCAAGGCTGGAATACGCCAGAGCGCGGCGAGGCAGGAAACCGCTACCAGCCTACTAGGTTTTCAGTCATCTGAATTCTACCTGCTTATTGCTTGGATAACCTGTAAACAGGCAGAAATCTATACAGTACAGGTGTATGTACGCAGGTCATGAGAAGTAAACAGTGTGTGCACAAGGTTTCCCAGCTGATTGGAATCTCCTCACTAAGTCTGTTCCTCAGGGGATTTCAATTCTTCACATAATGAGGAGGTCATTGCCAGTTAAAAAAAAGAATCTAAATATAATTGGTAAAAGATGTTTCTTCTTTAATCCCAGTAATAAGGAGAACAATTACACGGTAATGTTAGAAAAGGAAAGAAATCCATTTTTGATAAAAGAAAATTTCAGGCCTGTTTAACACAGTTTCTACTCTGACTATTCAGATGAAAAGTGTATTTACTCTTTTTCATATTGCACATATACATTACATTGCCTATTTCATCTGCCTCATTTTCCTAATTAAATTTCCTTCAAGCTGTGTTCCTGCAGTTGTAGGTGGGAATATAGTATTAAAGGCTAACATAGCAAGTAGAGTAATTTTACAGCAACAACAGATCTCAATTCTGTATAACATGCACTAGAAAGAAACTTGCATTGGCATTTTACATCATACTCCAAAAAGTAAGTGTGCTAAAATTAAAAAAAATGTTGAGGTATGCTGAAATATTTTCAAATATATAATTTGTAAAATTTCAAGAATAGGCACACTGCATTTGCCCATCTTGCAAAAATGTTACTCATATATTTAACGTAATTCTAAACGTTAGAAGAAATCTAAAAAGTGACCTCAGTTCTCTAGGGTTTTGGTGGGGGAAGGGAGCAGGCGAATTTTTTTCATTTTAGGAGTTGAGCCCATAGAATTGTTGGTGTCAAATACACATGGGAAAGTCTGAACAAAGATGAATCTCACCTAAATCAGGCCGCTAACATATCAAGCTAGGTGTATGCTTGTTACATGCCATCTGTGTAGTCAGAGACAGATAGGCTAGAATACCTTTGGAAACTTCTTTACTCACCCCCTCACTGCCACTTTGTGAGGATGAAATCCACCCCATCCAGAATATTACTTATTTAACCCAAGCACATAGCAATGAACATCCTTGTTTCCTG